TTTGTTGGTAAAATGATTAAAACCGAATTAAAAAACAAATTAAAAAATTAATGCATTTTTTTTTAAATTATAGAGTTGCCCGTTTTTCGTGCCGGTATTTACTCAAAAAATGTTTTATTTGAAAATACATTCGCAAGAACATGCACTAAATATAATTTCATTAAAAACATATTTGTACAAATGAGCTTTTATAGAACATTGCGTATATGATTGTTTATTCTATTCTATTGCTCTGTGGTCTACATCTGTGTCAAAGTTGATTTATAAAAATTTTAATGGGCCCAGGCCGCACAGGTTAGGTAAATCAGTTGCCTCTTATTTACACTTTTGATTATATCAAGTTAAATGCGTCATTTTTCTTCGGTTTTTCACACGACTCAATATTTAAACATTAGACATAATAGATGCAAGTATTTTTTTTTTAATTTTCTTTACAATTAGGCTTCGCACGGGAACAATTTTTACTACTAATGAAAATGAGGAGTGTGCTTAGCAAGAAAATATTAAGTATATTTATTTTATAACGTTTATTTATTAATTTATTTATAAGTATGTCATAAATGAGAAAGACGAATATCAAAATTTGTTTGAGTCGTAATTTTATCGTGAAACATAGATGATAATGCGTCCATGGCTTATAGATTCGTTTGGTTGCAAGTAATTTTGAATCGGTGATATATTCTAAAGTATTTATTTGAATGATATAGTGTAAAAGACAATTTTAATCTATTACGTATTTATGCAAATGAAGATTAATAATCAATTAAAGAAAATAGCTTCTCAAATAAACTATTATTTTTTTAATAATGTGTAATAAATAAAAATAGTTATTGTGAGTGTATCTTAGGAGACAGGCAAGTGCCATTCAGGACTATTCTGTAGCCCTTTCTAAGACCTACAATTTTCTAGTAGATTGTTTTAATATATCTCTTAAGATTTGGCCAGCATTAGCCATGTAAGCTTACGAAAACAGTTTTTTTTTTTGACAAAACACGGTATGAGTTCTGCCATTTAGTATAAAATATTTACAAATTATATACACAAACATTTCTCGTTTATCGCTTTTTATAATAGTGAAAACCGTATCAAAATACATTGCATGGTTCAGAAAAATTAAGTAGAGAAACAGACAGGCAGGCAGCGACTTTGTTTTATACTATTTAGATTCAATTATCTTAGTATTCATATTGTACATGTGTTGTATTAGAGCACCCCCACAGAGATAATACTATCAGGTACTTTACCATTTCAGTTCATTTCCGTCCGTACAGTGTACTCGAGTGCGATCAAAGGTATTTAAAATTCGATCAATTGTTAATTAAAAAAAAAGACTAGGCGTAAATGCTCTTTCACACGAATATACTTTCGTCAAAATGTATTTTCATGTAAATATATTTTCGTGAAAATAAATAAAGCACTATTCCATAATCCCTTTATTTTATGAACTAAAGTAAAAATCTTCAAACAAGAAATATTCTAATTTTCTCAAGATTAAAAGTATTTTAATAACATGTACTTTAGTTGAATTATGAAAAAAAAAACTTTTTATAACTAGTCATAGTAATAGAGTTATTTTTATATGTCACTCGCCTTCGTCCTTCAACTAATCCTGAAGATATAAACAGTTTATTAATAAAACATTTCCCAGAAGTCACCTGTGAACATGTAAAATCAAAATACCCAACTAGCTATGCCTCTATGAAGGTAACGATAGTCCAATAAATTTTTAAGAAAGCCTGGCGTAAAGATAACTGGCCAAAAGAAGCATTCGTTTCCAAGTTTTTCTCAAAGAAAGGGATACCATCCAGGAGTTCAGTGGATCCCAAACTCACAATGAATCATTAAAAAATAATTATAATGTTCATAACAGTAAAAAAAAATTTGGAGGGGTCCAACAGTTGATCCTGTTTTGAAAAAAACTCGTAGTCTAAATAATTAAAGCCATTTTGCTGACAGTCTATAGAACTGGAAAAAAAATTAAATCTTTTTGAGAGTCTTCTAATATTCTGTTCTGAAAACTATAACAAAATAATAATTGTAGGTGGTTTCAACATAAATTTTAAAGAATATATCAAATGAGTCAAAAGATTTTGAAGACCTATTAGTTTCTTTTGGTTTATCTGTAAAAATATATGGTACAGCTGCATCTGCAACATATCTGGATAATATTCTAACAAAAACAAATGGTGATTTCATTGATACAGGGGTTATCGAACCTTGCATTGCTGACCACCGTGCACAATATCTAACACTTCAATTTAACTGTAAAAATATCTTAAAAACAATTCCACAAAGGCACATAACAAAAAAAATGGCCTTATACATTTGAAAGAATCATTGAAATATGTTGATTGGTCTTGCATTTTTAAATTCAAACTTAGTATCTTCAAATCTTGCTAATTTTATAACTGAGACCTTCAAATCTCTTAAAGAAAAACACTTCCCTTCTCCAAATATTAATTTAAATAATAATTATCCTGTAAACTGGTTTAAAGGAAAAATATCTCATGGTTAAAAACAATAGCTGATGTTACAAGGGGTGTTAAAGTCTATAACGAATTTAAAGAAAATTATAAGCAAAACATTTTTAATAAAAAGAAGTCGGCCTATGACAAATATCTCTTATATTCTAATAATGTGCCTAGAGAAAATCATCAATTTTTACAGGAATAAAAATGCAATTTGCACTACAAAACCATTCTCTATCACGCCAGATTGTTTTAACGACTACTTTTCTACAGTTGCAGGAAAGGTAATAATTTCAATAATAAAATCAGATGTGGATCCAAGAAGTTTTATGAAAGAAACTACTGTCTCCCGTTCATCAATTTTCTTGTGCCCAATGACTGAAATAGAGTTAAAAAACTCAAACTGCACCGATTTTTTTTTTGCTTGAATAGGAAAATTATTATCAAAACAATAGAAATTTATATTGAACATCTCTTAAAGCTATATAATGCATGTCTCACAGAGGGCGATTTTCCTGATATTTTTAAAGTAACCAAAGTACTACCTATATTTAAGAAAGCAGCAATAGATTTGCCAGAAAACTGGCAATTTCAATCATACCCGTTTTTGGTAAAATTTTTGAAAATATCTTTGACTGAATATTTAGAGAGCAACAAAATACTTAATTGTAAAGAATATGGTTTTAGAAAAAAAGTATACAAAAGCAATAAAGGAGGTTGTGCGTAACATAGTTTGTGGGCTGGAGAATGGGCAGTTTGTATCATTAACTTTGGGTGACCTGTCAAAGGCTTTTGACTGTGTCTCTCACAAACTCCTCCTTGACAAAAAAACATTTAAATATGGCATTCGAGGAGTACCCCAATCTGTTCAAATATTATTCAACAAACCAAAATATTGTCCATGCAATGAAATGTGTTTGTTTTGCATAATTTCTGAATAGGATCATGGATTTAAATAAATTAAAGGAAAACATATCTAATAACATTCATGAAGTTAGAAATTGGTGTTCACCAAATAATTTAAAAGTAAACGACGACAAGAATCAAAATGGAACTGGCACATAGATATGATAATTTAAGTCGTAAGCTTGTCACAGCCAATTTTGGAATACGCAACTTGGCATATCTAGTATCTATGTCATTATTAGAACTACTATAGAAATTTCAAACCTCAAAAGAAAGTAATAACATTAATCGCAGGTGTAAACTTTAGAGATCATTGTAAACCTCTATTTTTAAAATTAAAGATTATGCCTAAAGTCAAAAACTACCCGTATTTCGGAAATTACCTTAATTTTATGTGATGACCTTTTTTTCCTATTCCCTTCCCTTGTCTTTTGATCCATAAGCTGCGACATTTACATTTTTGAGCGACGAATTGATTTCGACGATGATTTCCAAAATTTTGTAGTGATTTAGAGTTAAAACGTAGCAGTATATCGGGAGAGGTTTACCCCTCGGTCGTTACCTTCTCTTTATATGTATGAAACACTGCTTGAAATTCATAAAAATAAGAATTTCTGTTTGAACTCTCACTTTCATGACTATAATACTAGATCAAGGGAATTCATTAGACCAAATTGCTATAGAATATCTAAAAGCAAAAAAAAACCTGCCCCAATATTCATTTATACAATCATATCTCAAAAAAATCGGTTAAGTATTTACCCAGAACTTCCCTCGATATAGAAATTGTAAGCTGTTAAATCTTATTAATTTAAAATTAAAACTACCAAACCAAAAACCATTTTTCACATTTCTCTCTCAATCGATCTTCCTCTTGTTCCCACCCAAAATCTCTCTTCGTGTCCGCTCAGTATTCTTCATCACGTTAACTGTTATTGAATTAAAATTGCCCAGTTACACAAACCAAATGGACGCTTTTTATTGTTTCCATTCAAGGGGGACTTTTTTTGATTAAATACGATTCCTTTCAACACCATTTTAAATTTTTAAAAACTTATTTAGGATCTGTTATCTTTGAATTATAAAATTTTCAGATACCAATTTGTAATTTATTGTTTTAATTTGTAATTTAATTTTAGATGTTGACATATCAAAATTTAGTTAAATGCAATTTTGATGAAATAAATCTAATATTATTAAGTGTGGGAAATTATTTTTTTACGGGTGCATAAGAATTGTCAATTTTTGTTGAAGAGCATAGATCAAGACCGAAAATTAAATCGAATAAATGCCATTTTTTTGCCAATTGGACAAAAACTTATAGCGTCTTCGATTCCACTACCCTGCCTGCGTGGAGTGCACATAAAAGATGAGCGATATATCGATACCAGTTACATTTCAGATTGAAAAGTAACTGCTATTGACATATCTCCCACCTTTCATATGCACTCAGTGCAAGCCATGCACTCAGTGCAAGCCGTGCACTAGATTCGAAGACCCTATTATTTATATTTGAAAATTTTCCTTTTAAAAATCTGTGCAGCTGCTGGTTTCTAAATTATAGCCGGCGTCTATTAATTGACTTCTAAATAGGTACATTCAAAATAATTAATCAATTATACTTACCTATTCATAATATTTGTAACTTCTTGAGTTTTGTTGACTAAAGTACTGTTTGATATAAAGTGATTATAACATTTACAATGAGAAAATAGTAAATACAGCATACAGTATTGCAAAGAAGGTGCTGTTTTACATAAATTCCTGTCATGTGGCATCATATATACTCCAACAAGCTCCAAAATACTTGGTTTCAGAGCCCACATAACAATAATTGAACTTGCATTTGCCAATTGTGATAGGCACCTTAATAAGAACAGTGTTGTTTGTTCTGGGTCTTTTCCAGTAAAATTAGAAAATGGGTTATTATGAGTAAAAGGGTGTACTGTTGGCACTATTTGCTTGTAGACTATTTCCAAGTCACCCAAAACATATCTATAAGCTTCTTGTAGCAATGACACATTTTTTAAATTTAACAATGCTTGGTACACACAAATAACAGCCTCTTGAATGTTATTAAATGGCGAAGATCTTAATTTTACAATCTCAGAATTTGGACCAATAAGTTTTTCTATTAATTCTATAGGTAGATTAGCAGAAAGTTCCTTAACAATTTTTGATATTAAAATTAACAGAGAAATAACAGTGGCATCTGATAAATCTGTTAACATAGATAGTTCCATATCAATTAATGTGTATATTTGATTGCAAATAAATTGTGATTTGTTTTCAAGATAACTAAGTAATAATCCAATACAGTCATTACCAGCAATTGTCAAATTATCTGGAACATATGATTCTAAACTGTCAGTTACGGTTTTAATAATTCTTGATAATGCAGAAGTTATAAACTCTACTGATACATTTTTGTTAGTTTCTGGATGAAATGTCTTGTCTAAACATTTTAAAACTGTATTCATAGCCAAAATCAATACAGTGACATGATCTAAAGTACTCATATCCCCCGTTTCCTTTAATTGAGCAGCATAGTTTCCAATGTCCTCTAAAAAATTTTCTATTAGCTGAACAGAAAATTCTAAATAAAACTTAAAATGATGTGAAATTCTTTGCAGGCTTTTCGAAATGAATTCAATGTTGCTTAGAGGTTGAGTGTGATCTACATGCCATCCAAATAATAAATCTATGGTGTCTCGAAATTGTTCATAAAATTCTGATTGGTACATTTCAACAACAGTTACCAAGACATCAAGTATAGATTTAAATACTTCCGCATTTTCTATGGTTTCAATTGCCGCTACTAAGTTATTTATTAGATTTTCAATGTGACTTTGTAAAACAGGTTTCTTTTCCTCAAATGCTAAAGTTTCATGAATACTTCTCATTAGCAAAATCTGCATCTCCTCAAAAGTGTTGGCCATTTTATTAAATAACCAATGCTGGTATCTTTCAAAATCATTTTCTTGGCCCATTATGTAACCCATGCGACCCAGTGCCCTTGCAGCTTGTTTTTTCGCCATAGGTCCAGGAGAAACATGTAAGATTTCAAACATGGATTCTCCAAGAATGTGAAAAGCTTTGCGAACATAGTGAGCATTGTCAGGTAAAAGTAATACTTCAAGAAGCTTCTTTGAAATAGCCAATGAGTTGTCTTGATCAGTTTCTATATTGAGCCTTCTAAGAAGTTTGGATATTCTTGTATCTTCTGGCAAGTTCAATTTGATTTCAGTTTTCTTCTCTGGTTCATAAAACTTCCCTCTACTTCCTGTAAAAGTAGAAAAAAAAAGTATTAATAACACTATATTTAAGTAATAATCGAACATTTCCATAAAGTTGGAAAATTAAATTTTGCAGGATTGCATGATCAAATTCAGTTCTACTTTTAAAACTACAGTCAAATTAGACCTTTCTGGTTGGCTTATTGTGTTGTGCCCCCATATTAATTCATAGTACCCAATCTGTCACATTTATATCTTTAAAAGTTTTTACAGGTCCTTGATTGAGTATGCATATGCATGTTTTTGTGCCTATCTCTTGCCATCCAAAGTTTTGCGGTAGCACAGTAATTATTCTTGGCTGTTTCTTTCTAGTTTCTAAATCTTTTGGAACCTGAACATAAGTGATACACCCTCTACTGTGAGCATAAGTTACTAAGATACTAAAATAAGATAAATAAATCTGACCTTGACATTTTGTTTTTCAGATTATTAAATGGTGTTTTATATTAGCAAGAGTTTCATTTGATATAATTTATTTAATAATAAAGCTAATACATTTTATTACTAAAACAATCTATACTATATATTATTGTAATTGTAAACATTTTGTAATTAAAATATATATAGCTTAAGTGATATATCAGAGAAAAGCTTATTTTTTTCTCTTTTCAAGAGTACTAAAAAAAGTATCACATTACTAATGTAATATAGTCCCATTCATCACCCTAAAATACCTTGTTGTCAGACTTTTTTGCTTCTGTATGTATAGAATAGAATTCATAATTATACATTCATTGCTTCACCTGCCTGTGTATTTTGTTGTCAAGAAAGAAATTATTTGAAACATTTATCATTATTTTTAATTATCACTTACTGTTTCACTAATATTATGCATCTAAGAGTAAAAAATGTCCTGAAAATTCAGTCCAATAGGCTATCGACCGAAGTCTACATAAAAGTGGTAAAGAATTATGGCTAAAAATACTTAAAAAATGAAAAGTTTGATGATTTTCATATGGACCCCTTTATTAGATATTGACCAAATTTATATGGGATCACCGTTGAGGTACCCTCCTTCTAACAAAAAAGAATCATAGAAATCGGACAATGTAGTAAACAATTATCGCTAAACATACATAAAAAAAAAATATTCAGAAGCATTGAGAACCTCCTCCTTTTTTGAAGTCAGTTAATCAATATGTTGCTGAGGAAATAATATTTAGCTTGTGCATTTAACTTTTAAGTATTTTTAGCAATAATTCTTTACCACTTTGTCCAATTTCTGTGATTATTTTTTTGTTAGGGGTACTTCTGCATACAATTGGTAAGGATCTGATGATCTATGAAAAAATCAAAATTTTTAAGGGCATCTGCACGATTTTGAAGTTGGTTTTTTAAAATTACTTTTATAATTTGTTTTTGAATTAAACAATTTTTAAATATAACATTAAATGTTCAAAGTTATAGGTTTTTTAGCTTGTCTTAACTCTACAATGCCATAGTAGGCATCAGCTTCGTATGCACATACTATTTGAAAAATATGCAAGGTGCTAGAACAACCTGTACAGGTATACCCATTTCAATCAGTCAGGTTATCAGGTGTTAGTACCACTTGAATTTAAAGTTATTAATGCAAACAAAAAATATTGAAGTTGTTTGGGCTCATGTAGGTAAAATTTAGTATAAAAGAAGCACATTTTAAAACAGAAATCAACTGTGGTTAGTGTTTATTACAACTAAATAAAATGTTAATTTTTGTCTGTGTGAAAGAGATGGTGATGACGGACCTATTTGCCTATACTGAGCTAAAAAAAATTCAACATAGAAAGGCTGTGTTATTGTAACTAAGAATATGTAAGTACTTATACCCTATTACAAAAAATACCTAATTTTTGAAAAAGGGATATTTAAACTAACTTTTTCATTAAAAATTAGGATGAATTATGGTGTGCTATCAATAAAATTGTGGAAATGTCTTAAATGACAATGATACATTCGGCTTGTTTTTCATTTCTTACCAAGTAATTCTGAATTTCTGGAATCATATTTCCTTATATTATAAAAGTTGTCCGAGTACTCTCGGTCTCCCTTGCGTCCCGGTAAACCAGAACCTCTGCTTCTGGACCCACCTCTTCGATCACTGATTTTGCTAGATCTAAATTCAGTGGACCTGGTTCTACCTACTCCCCCCTTATTTCTAGAGTCTTTCAAATAAGGGGCGCCTTTTACATCTTCATCAACGACATTGTCGTAATTGTCATCTGAATTACCATAATCAAATTCATGGACCTCTCTAGAGCTTTTGGAGGCCCTGAGTTTGTAGGATGAATTGTTTGATATCATAACTCACATACCGAACACAAATATATTGTTCTCAGACGATTAGACACCTTTTATAATATTTAAGTCCTATACAAGTCCACGAAATTAGTTCCAAAAACACTAAAAAACACCTTTTTGGTTAACTGAACTTTTTTCTCAATTATTTTGAAGGTGGGGGGATGAAAGATGAAAGGATAAAAATGTCAAATGTCAATTGAAAGACAAATCGTATAAGGGATTTATTCACGAACACAAATAAGCCGCTAATAAAAGACGTCATAACATGAGGCGACACTAAAAACCGCGGAAACCTCGGGAGCGCTCGGCACTTTGCGGAGACGGTCGGTAGATGGAGTTTGGCGGAAATTTTGAATATTTGCTATTTACAGATTTCACGTCAAAAAAATAGAACCTAACCCATAGATAAATTAATATTAAAAGATAAACCGTTTAAATGCACGGCACTGGTAACAAGTGGTAGTTCCCAGCCATACTACTTGGAGCCACCGTCGCAAATAAGACGACAGCGATGTTGTCAGTTTCCATAAACTTTCATGACATTAGAGTTATTTCAAACGCATAAGCTGCACCTTATTTTGTTTTTGTCGTGCTCGATACCGTCCATACAATGGCCATACTATTGCTGAGATATTTTAAAGAGAGGTTTGGCAACTGTGTTGATAACCTCGTTAAAAATGAAGAACAGAATGGCGGAAGGCGAAATGGTCGAAAAATGCAGAAAAACCATCGTACAATAAAAGTTATTATGATGTGGATATAATTATCCTTCGATAGGTAAGTTATCATTAGGTTAAGAAGATTGATAAGTGCTGATTTGAAGAAATTAGTAAGTATTAACAATATAATTTAATAAGGTGTTAGATTTGTTTGAGGACTTTGTTTATCATTTTCTTATAGCCTTAACGAAGTATAATTTCATTTTGGATCGATTTTCAATTCTTTTTTAATATACCTATTTGTAACAAAACATATATCTGGCCCTGGTAAAATTAAGTAATCTTTTTCAGCCCCTTAATTTAAATAAGTATTATTCTAATATTCAGCAGGCTGGTTATTCAAATAAAACCTTTTTTCATTTTCCTTCCGATATTAAAATTCGCGAAAACTGTTTTAAGAATTTACATTTTTTCTTTAGATAATAAAATTCGCTATCTGGGTCCATAACACTTTAGTGTCACAAAAAATAAGCCATTTAGAAAAAAAATAGAACCATTTTGAATGTAGTAGAGACTAATTCTTTACAAAAAAGTGCGGATTTTTTTCAAAATATAACCATTTTTTTCTAACCTCAATTTTTTTATTTTTTGGAACATGAGTGAATTGTTCGTCGAGTTCAAGTACGAATTTTGCAAAAATTTGTCAACACCCAAAAATAACTAGTTTCTATAGTAAATTTTCGCAAAAAAAATAGAAAAACTGCATTTTTCGAGAAAAATATAATGAAAAATTGAAGAGATCTAAAACCATATATTTTGTTGTTTGGAAAAATGCAGTATGTTTACCTATAGAGAAACAATTAAAAAAAAAAAATATTTTTCGTCATGAAACATTTTTTCCATATTTGCACAAGAAAACATCACTAACAAAAAAATTGAATATTTGTCATTATGGAAATATCAAAATAATTAAAAAAAAAAATACGTAACCGAACCCACGTAAAAAATTAATTGAATGTCGCCTGTAATGAAAACATAATTTTTAAAATAATTTGCTTCCCGGCCAACTGACACAGATCAAAGAATATACGTTCTTGCTTCTCAGCTTAATATCGCTACCAAACAAACCTAAGTTGCCTTATCTATTGATTGTTGCAGTAAACACAACATAAAATTTAGAAATATTTATTGATTTAAAATGCAATATGCTCATAAATAGTTTTTAATAAATAATCAAAAAAACACTTAAAACCTATGTAAAATATAAAAACACAAATAAAATTGCGATAAATAAAATCAAATTCTCGACAAACGCACAAGAGAGCATGCGCGAATCTAAATTACTACGCTTTTATCAAGTAATAGGTAGTTTTTAACATCCGCAATAAAAAATAGTTCCAACTTGAAAAGGCCATATTTTTGAATTTTGACTATAATCCGCAATTTTTTTTCCAAAAATCAAGAAATATCTATCTGTAGTTTTATTTAAAACATATGTCAAATCTGTAATTTTGTGACACTAAAGTGATATGTCACCCGCTATCTTTGTGAAGATAATTTTTGCCAGATTCTTTTAGTAAAATTGCTTCAAAACGTAAACGACTAATTGCAAATTCTGTACCAATTTTATTAGCTAATAGTACATCCAGTTCAACTAAATACTCAACCGAAACAGTCAGATTTTAGAAAATGTTGAGGCTGAAGCACATACACAGTAGCATAAGATAGATTTGCTAATCTGCAACGAAAAACAAGAAATTATTTGCAAACGTAAACTTAGTATTAGTGATAAACAATTTAAACAACCCTCTGTTAAAAATGAACAGTCAAAAACTCAAAATTTGTTAGATCAACTAGAACAGATTAGTTAAAATATAATTCAAATCGACTATTGCACTATGAGAAATAAACTGAAAGTTTTTTCTATAAACTAATTTTAGACAAATTAAAAATAACTTTTTTATAAGAAAGGGCAACATTTTGATAAGAAAAATTGTTCAATAAGATGTAATTAGGTATGTACACTTTTTGTTTTTATAGGAAACCCCTGACACCTGCATCAAAATTTGGTCCAGTTTTCCAAGAATGAGAGGAGAATACTATTAATTTCACTTACAGTTGTTTATGTTTATGTTATTTATGTAATAAAAGTTTAATGGCACCTTACTTTTATTAAATGATTAAACTATACCTATATATATACCTGTTGTTTCAAATATTTTAATATATTTTTAATTTATATTTTTTGGAGTTTTATTACTTAAAAAAACTAATATTTATGTTAAATACAGTATTTTAATGTAAATATTAGTTTTTTTAAAGTAATGAATGCCAAAAAAATGTAAATAAATAATAAAGGATATTTGAATGAGCCGCGTTTAGGCTTGACACTCTTCTTATTAATTTTCTTCTTTTATGTTGGCTCTAACTGTTAAGTTAATCAGCTAAATGTATAGCGTGCGATGGTGGCTCCAAGTAGTATGGCTGGGAACTACCACTTGTTACCAGTGCCGTGCATTTAAACGGTTATCTTTTTAATATTAATTTATCTATGACCTAACCTCAAATTTCAACGGCCGTTTGGTTATATTACAGAGATAAGACATGTCTTCTCTCTGGTTATATTACTTTGTTTATTTGCACTTATTTACGTGAAATCAATTTCTTGATGTTTTTGTGTAATTTCGATACTTTTCATTAAAAAAAGTTATATTAACTGTGTACTATGTGCACTGAAAGGACCATACAAAAAATTTGTTGATAAACTGGTTCAAATGTTGGTTACAATAGTTGTAATTGATGGTACAGTGTGGCCAAAAAATATATGCTTTGAATCAATTATCAAATAAAATCCTTTATTTACACTTTTCATTAAACCTGCAATTTTGATTACAACCCATAAGAAGAAACTTCAAGAAACTTATTGGTAAAAATTACTTTTTTTCTACAAAAGAAAAAATAATTATCAGCATGTTGCATTTTTGATGTAATTGAGGGTTTTTTAGATAGTTCATCAAAAATAAAAGTCACGCTATACATACATAGGCATATATATTTCATTTAGATAAACTTAGAATAAATAAATGATAAATACATCTAATTAAAACTTAAAACATACTATAAATACATATTTACAATAAGTTTTTATTTAGTACAAAAGCAAGCCCTGTCACTATTGCCATACCATAGAAAAAAAATCAAAAGCCCATTACAATTCCTTTTTTAAGATAAAATTTCGTGCTTTTCCGCTTTCCTTTTCTGTATCGCTGATCTATTACTTGTTCCATTACTAACCTACACCTTATAAAAAAGTACCAACATATAATTTTTAGCTGCATACATGGAAAAATGGTTCCATTACTATATTATATGCATCATTATTCAGGTATCTTAAACAATGGAGTTTCAATTTGTACCTCTCACTTTGCTTCTCTAGCTATTGTAGTTGAACATTTATTTTCAGATTTCTTCTCTCTAATAAAGTTTTTAATTTCTTCATTATGTCCCCCTTTAAATATCTGGTAGCTTTTCCTCAGATAATAGTTTGGCAACGTCACCTAAAACATAACATACGAAATGTACATGTTTACACACTGTAGTTTTTATAGCACACTCTACACAGTCACTTTTATAGTGGTGAACACATACCTTACATATTCTACAATATGCAAAGTTCTGCATTCGGTCGAACATAATTCATTATAAAATATTTTGTAAATAATTGTCACCTGTAGAAGGCTTTAAATGAAATTCGCCAAACCTTCTATCTCTTATACTTCAAACATTGTTTTTATTATTTTTGCAAGATGTGCTTTAATCACATCCTCCATTCTGGTAAATATATGAATGTGGTATTTCCATCTATAAAAAACAAATAATTATATAATGAAATATTAGATATTAAAATGAAGTGAACGAGGAAGTGAATATGTTGGTTAAAATTAGTAAACCTTCAGAATCCTTTGCCACATTTTTCCATCAACAAAATTTTCAATTTCTTACATTTGTTTTTCACTTCAGCTGATTTACGTTAACTAAATTGTTTTAACTTTCTAGTACCATATTTGTATTTATACCTGCATTTAATATATAACAGTTTATTAAAAGTTACACAAACTAACTCATTTCCAAAACACAATGGGCAAATAATATGTGATTTCTTAGCATGGGAGACCTCTTGCTGGTTGTGAATATTTTTTATATATATTTACTCTTTGAAGAAACAGGAAAACTCCAAATTGCAGAAAGGACACATTTTGTTATCAAAACCTTGAGTTTCCATACTTAATATTTTTCGCTAAATAATCGTCACAAAAATAACCAGCTTTCATAGCGATCAAAGACAAAAGCACTGACCTTTTATATATTCACAAAAGTTTGGTAGTGGTAAACAACAGAATTTTAGGGTTAGTTATTGATTTTTTCTTTTTCCCTCTAGTCACAATTCAAATCGCTCCTCCGCGCTACGGCTATTTACCGAGTAACCCCGGAAAGTTCCGA